CCACCTCGGCCCTCCCCTACTTCGACCATCGCCATAGCATGCACCACGGTGAGCTATTGATGCTTGTCCGCTATTTCTACCCATTTGTGGGGGCGTAGGCTCGTCGGAACGCTCGTGCCGCCGTGGTAGTTGGTCCGCCGACGCGAGCAGTGCATTAGCAGTCATCGTCTAACTTCTAATCGCTGCCCAGGGTTTCGTCTTGGCTTTGCGATGCTCATCGGCCTGCTTGTTTGACCGGTGCCTCGCTCCATTATCTGGCTAGGTGTGCAGTGTTGGTTGGAGCCGCGCCATCGTGCGTAGGGCATCGGGGACCGACACAGTGAGTGGGTAAGGTTATTGAGGGTGCTCGATCCAAAACTGGTCTCTAGTGCAATAGTGCGCGGAGTCGCCGCGTAGTAATCTGATAAGTTGCTAAATGCGCGAGTACGCTCGCGTAGCGGGCTAGTTGGGCTGGCCTGCTAGCTTGCGGCGACGCCCCATGCGTGCCGCAACGGGTGGCTGGGCCGAATTGGTGGCCAGTCTTTTCCTTTTTTCTAAAGCATTTTCTAATTTAGTTTCTAAGGCAAATCTGTAAATTCAATATAAATTTGTGTAGTGGACTAAAAATTGTGAAACTAATTTTGTTAGGTTTCTAAAATCATGATCTATCTGCTATTATATCTTGTTCGTATAGTTTTATAGTATTTTCAGGAGTTATCTAATTAAATTAAGATGCTTAATATTGTTAAGATATAAACTTGTAGGAATTTTTATGATTAATCAGTGCTAGTGTTAATTCTGGAAATTTCACAGGAACTTCCTAATATTATGAGGTGTTCACTGTAATTTTTATATCTCCATAATAATTAGTTTGCTAAGATAGCTAATGAGTCCTAGTTCGAATATATATTAAATCAATGAAATGAAGTAAAAGAAACACCTTGGGATTGTAGAACTAAAACATTTTTCTAGGAAATGACGCCTTACTCGACAACGTGGATACGTAGCCTAGTACGTTAGTCGTAGAGCTAGCTCGTTAGCTTGAGAGGCGTCAACGTGTTTTAAGAGTTGCGGTTGCCGTTGGTTAGTTACGTTTCTGCGTTGCATCCACGTGTATAATAGGAACAACGACGGCTTCCGGAGTCATTTGGAGTAGCAGAAAGGATAGTGCCTTGATGATCGGGTCACCACGATGGAATGCTAACTTTTGATTATATCTTACCCAGGCAAGCCCCGGTGCATAACCCCTATTATTCTGCACTTTATCTTATACTTGTGGATTAAGTTTTAAGGAGTTGAATGAAAGAAACTTGCATATATATATATCTTTATCCTATGAGTCATACTAGTATGTCATGATCGTGTAGATTACTATGCTAAAGGATTTCGATAGAAGTCGAGTGATTATCTGTCACTCGCGAGAGATAGAAAAGACATTATTGTTCTTATTATCATATAACTATCACATGGAATATATATGGATGATAATTGGAGACCGGGTGGGACTGTGCTTTAGATTTGGATTTGGACTTGGTTAGGCAACCGAGCGAGGCTCCAGTTACATTTGTCCCGCCTGTGTCGATTGAGGACCGTCCGTTGATGTGGATGGTAGTCAGGTCACAGACTTATTATCCTGAGCACATACTTGCTTATGGGAGCGAGAAGACTTGTTGCTCTCTTGTCATGGGTTCCGGCTCTTTCCGGACTGACTTGTAGGGGTGAGTATTAGGTGGAGGTCTAAGCATCATACTGAGACTGGGTCTTAGGTGTTAGGGGGCTTGGAGTCTAAGTTTGGACGGGGACCTAGACCCCTTGATAGGAGTGGAACGGATTGATCTTGTTTGTGCCTGGGGTACAAGCGAGGCGTGTGTTTTGGGGTACCCAGCTGGGATACATTGATTCATGAATCGCCGTTTTTTGAGACGGTACGATTTGGCTATGGTCTAGCACCGTAGTAAGAACTAGAACATGGAAGGTGATAAAATGGTTCTGATTGCTTACCACATGCTTGAAAGTAGCATAGGTGCTTACCTAGAATGATTAGCTAATTAACTAAAAATAACTGCTAAAAACTATGAGTATAAGGATGCACTATTAGTCATGCTTCCTGCAAATATAATTAACCAGCAAGCCAAAATAAGCATTGCATATCCTTGGAGTCTTTTATTTTTCTCCTGTCGGGTAAGTCTTGCTGAGTACAATTGAGTACTTAGGGTTTTATTCCCCCTGTTGCAGGTGACAGGTGGGTGCTGGTAGAGCCGACCTTGTGTGTGGAAACCTCCTGGTGGGCCCAGCGAGGGTTTCCTTACGTTGCAGACATAGAGTTTTAATTACAACCTTCACGAATAAAGTTTTGGAAAGAAAAGCTTATGCTTTGCTATCCTCACATGTATATAATTATGTCTCATGCTTAACGTTCAATAGCTTACAAGTAAACTTAATTTCCATTGAAACTCTGATCACGTGTTTTATTCCACTGTCGTAATTATCTTGTTTATCATTCTGATGTTGTAATAAAGTGATGTAAAGAAATGGCTAAGAATATTGTAAGCTTTATTCTCTCATTTATGATCCTGACGAAAAATGTGGATTTTTGAGTTCTCCCTTTGGGCGTGCTCAACGAAACAGCGTGGTTTAGTGCACTCTCTTGGGTACTTAGGGTCTAATGAAAGACAAGTACTCTCTAGAGGGCATTAGATCAGGCGGTTCTGCCACATCCTCCTCCTCCTCCTCCTCTGGATCTGGATCCGAGGGAAGCGGTGGTGGCTAGGGTTCCGGCGAGCTCTATTGCAGTAGGCTTGTTTTGCTGTTGCAACAAGTAATATTTCTTTGTTGCATTAGTCTCTTTTTTCTGATGTTGCATCTCGCATTGCGCTTTTGTTTATGTTGTTGCAGTAGCCTTGTTTTGCTGTTGCAACAAGTAAATTTTCTTTGTTGCATTAGTCTTTTTTCTGATGTTGCTTTCTTGCATTGCACTTTGTTGTGTTTTGTTGCAGTAGCCTTGTTATGGTGTTGCAACAAGTAATATTTCTTTGTTGCATTAGTTTTTTTTTCTGATCTTGCATCTCGCATTGTAGTAGTCTTGTTCTGTTGTTGCAGTCATTTTGTTCTGATGTTGCAGTAGACTTGTTCTGATGTTGCATCTCGTATTGCGCTTTGTTTGATATTGCAAACAAGTAATACTTGTGATGGGAGGGCGGTGAGGATGCGACGCACCTAGCGGGGCGCAGCGGGGGGATGTGCGGCGCGACGGAATAGCGGGGGGACGGTTGGCGCAGCGGGATGGCGGTGCGGCGAGAGGTCGGGCCGCGCATGAGCGTGGGATGGGCCGCCGCGACTGGCGAGTGACGCCCGAGTCGAATGGACCCGAGGCGCTAGGGTGCTCCGTTGTTTTGGTCGGGATCGAAACGAGTTTACTGTTCCGTGGGGGGGGGCGTTCCGTGCGTGGTTTTCGTGTGGGAGGGTGGGGGTGTGGTTTCATGCGTGGGGGGCGGGACACTCGGACGGGCCCAAGGTGCGTACTGACGTGCCCCTGAATCCGAGCGCCCGGGCACTAGGAGCGCCGTTTAAGGTTTGGGAAGTTCGGCTCTTGATTTTGGCCTCATTTTTATGGTCTCAACAAACCGAACAATCAAGGAACCAAGTCTGCCCTCCCGTTTTCTACGCCCGTGTACCCGCTTTCACAACCGCGACCGCCGTACTCGCTACCTCACCGAGCTGCCCGCCGCCCTCGCACGAGCTGGAGCTGTCGACGAGGTGGAGCCGTAGCCCTGTTGCATGAGCTGCTTATCACCCATCTGTGCGGTGCCGGCCTTGCCTTGGTCGTGCGAGCTGCTCGTCACTCGTGACTCGTCTGCTCGTGCGCATGGACTCTGTCTAAGCCGAAGCTCAGGCAGAAGGGGAGGGGCTTGTGCTGTTGTGCACTGATTCTCAGCGGATGGGATTGGGAAGGAGAAGGGGAGATCAGCACATGTGAAGGAGAAGGCGAGGACGGTGGATTCACGGTGTTAGCTCCAAATTGTGACAGAATGGCTCCAAATCGTGACAGAATGCTGGTTATTCTTTCAATGGTATTTCACATGTCTAAGGGCACGTTTGGTTCCCTGGATATGGCTTGACCAGGCCCGTGGGATGCAGGCTTGGGCTGATTGGTTGCCCGGATGGCTACCTGGGCCTGGCTCCGCCGGTGCAAAACTGCCTCCCTGGCCTGGCTCCCGGGAAACGAAATCAGAACTCTTTTCTCGCGAGCCTGGCCGGTGCGGTGCAGCGTGGGCGTCTTCTGCTGGCTCTGCTCGGTCACGCGCATGCAGGGCGGTAGCACAGGGCCTGCCAACCAAACAAAGTCTGCAACGGGCCATGTTCTCCGGCTGTAGCCAACCAATCAAGCTGTGGTTGCATGCGCACATCCTGGCTGCTCAGCGCCTGGCTCTAGGAGACGGGCCAGGCTGCTCTGAAACGAGAACCAAACGCGCCCTAAGATTTTTCAATGGTATTTTCCGAAAATACGGTTCTTTCAATGCTATAGAACCAATTTTCCTTTTAATATAAGGTTCACTGAATCGAAAGCGCAATACTCCGATCTGATGTTCACACTAGCCAACCCTCAATGCAAACCACTCCAGCTAGATTGCTATTTACATCACGATAGTACTGAACAGAAGAAGTATTCAGCTCTACTATGATTGGTTATCACCAAACTCTCCGACTTAAAGCTCAGGTAAGCCTAGATTAGGCTATTCTCTTGCTTTATCTGCTGGTTCACCTGCCTTGCACCTGCTGGGAAATGAAACAAGAAAGTAAATAACATGGTGCAGGTTGAACATCCGTCCCACAAATAAAGTCGTACAGGATTTGTAGCACAAATTAAGGACCAAGCAAAATGACTTGACTAAAGAGTGCTGAGCAGTGCTATAGTACCATAGAAACGTCATGCCGGTGATGGGCAGCATTTAGAAAGAAAAATAGAGTGTGCGAGCAGCTTCTAAAGTGGACTATCAGCAAAGGAAAAATCGTACCTTGACTCATTCGCGAGTAATTTTGGTATCGAAGCTGCTCAGACAGATGGCAAATGCCTGAAACGCAGATATCGGATAACGGTAGTCCATGGTGAACAAATCCTTCACGATCTTGCCAAACTGGAGTATCACGTCGTCGTCATCCTGGTTATTCGGATCACTCTCGCCTGAAGCCACCAACTGGAAGTTCTTAACAGATGCAACCGTGACCCGCCCATGGAAATTCAGGCACCAGCACTGCAGCGGTTCATGCCATCTGGGGGACTTGTTCTTCAGCACAATCTTAGCTTCATTCTGAGTGGCTAGCTGAGCACCTGAACTATCCAGACGACCTGATTTCCTGAAGAATGGAACTGATGCAAAATAGTTGGAGTTAACAGATGGAAGTCCAGTCTGCATGGGAGCAGTCTCTCCTTTAATCGCTGATACAGGGATGGAATCCATGACACAGTTCATCTTTCTTGGCGCCCTGCAAAACATTGGACAAACTTTACAACTCTCATGATGGTCTGAGCAGTATTTGTAATTCTCATAAAAAATCAAAATGATGTTGCAGTATTTGTAATTCTCATAAAAAAATGTATTCACATGATGGTCCATTCATAGCAGAACGTTTTCTTGGAAAGAAATATGAACCTAACATTGGAAGAATAAATGTCTACCACATGGTTTGCCATACCTAGAACCAAAAGTTGCTTCATAAGAAATGTGCGAAATTGGATAATTTCCAGCAGGCACCCCAGGAGAAACTTGGGCTGAACCGATCATGTGTGCAGACGGACCCTTTGAAACCACAGCTCCGGCACAAGGTGGATGGGCATCATAGACAGTAAATTTTGTTCCCAAGAAGTTTGATCTGATTAACAGAGAAGAATATGGTAAACCGAGGTCTCTGTCATAGCCATACTTTTGATCCGATGCACGGCATTGAAAAAACAGAGCAAGTTTTGAATTTCAGACTCTGTTTCTTGAATGCTCACCTTAGCTTGCCAATGTAGGTACCTTTTGATGTATTCTTTGCATCAAGCGAGATCAGGTATTCAGTGCCTGCGGACCTACGACTTCTGCGTGCAGCAAGTAGAAATTTCCCATCATCAGCTAACGCTGCAGAGCAAAAGAAAAAAAAACAGTGTCCATCAACAATAATGACATCCACACTGTATTTGTTCAAGAGTCATACATATAAGGGGTGAAAAAAGCATACCATCAGTGACTCCAACGCACAGAGAATATGACTGAGTCACCCGGTTCCTCCTAATGAAACATTTAATTGGGGCATCCCTTGGACCAGGCTGCAGGTTACAGATTTGAAATTGCAAGTTAATAAAACCAAAATAAATCGATGAACAAAATTTCAGAGTCAAAGAAACCTCAAATCAAGCGTTAACCCTCTTCTTACTAAAACGACAATAAGAATCTGTCCACCGTTTCGACAGAGCCAACTGTAAAACCAAGTCGACTAGCTCCTAAAGTAACATTTGACCTTGCATACTTGATTCTAAGCAAACTGACTTAACGAAAGAAGTCATAAAGAATTGTCTACTAATCTTATCTCCTCTGAGTAGAGAATAGTATCTCGACTTACCTAACCATCGTACTCAAGAACTTTCCTTTTTTAGAGTTCCAGGGCAAAACACCCCGGCCTTTTAACTATTGTCAGAAATCCAAATTCAATACAGGGCAGTTTAAAACCACGCCCAGACCTCTGCCGAAGCCTGGAGAACCTGGTTCCAACCAGAAACAGAACCAAAAGAAACTGAAGGACTTCTTACAACCTATCGATAAAAACATGAAGAGCATAAGAACTCCCCTAAAACCCTTGTACTCAAGAACTGAAAATTAAACAAATATGACTAGGTAGGTAGTACACCAACAACGAATTCTGCCTTATATCTTCCAGTGACGACCAAGGGTCACACACGCAACCTGGAAATGGAGGCTTTGACCCTAGCAAATGATGAATGCAGTATGGCAAATACCATCATTGACAATTCGTTGGACCTGGTTTGACTTATAAGCCATGACTGAGAGTAGCGTAGACTGGTTTAGAGTGAGAGAAAAATAATGTTTATTAGCTGATAAGCCCTGCCTTATAAGCGAGATACGACCCAGCCACCAGGCTGACTACGTGGGAAAAAAAAATCCGGTGACACAAACAACTTTTTTCCAAAGCACCAGACTAATAACGAACACATAATAGAGATTCAGAGTTCGTGGACAGGGGAACCAAATTAACCTGCTTGAGAGAGATGGGGAAGGTGAATTTCCCGGACTCCTCCGGCACGCGCACCATCTCCTTGACGACGGCCCTCCAGCAGCGGCAGACGCCGGCGGACGCCACGACGGCGCTGCGGCCGGGCCAGCGCGCCTCCTCGTCTTCGACCCTGACCAGCACCATCCTTAGGAGCTCGGGGGGCACCTGCGCCCAGCAGCTCTCCCGCAGCGCCTCGAACGGCTCGGCGGCTGCCGGCGCTCGCCCGGCGGCGGCGTGACCCCCCGGCCGGTCCGACCGGAACCGCAGCAAGCCGCGCGAGGAGATGGCGCCGATCTCGCCCTTCATCTCCTGGATCATGCTGCTGAAAGGCATCGCCTGCCTTTCGCGCGCGGCCTCCTCGCCAAAACCACCACCGCCCCCTCAAGAACTCTTCTGCCTACGGTCTGTCCCCTCAAGAACTCCACAAAAGCAGCAGCGGATATCGCGCGCGGCTTTCAACCGAAGCAAGGCATTGGGCGATGAAATGGAACCTTTTTTGTGAACTGTGGCAGACAGGGTTCAGGCCATTGAGTTCAGATAGCAGGCGGTGGGAGGGAGGGAGGGAGATGGGAAGCTTTCTTCCTGAGCTGCTGTGTTGATATGGACGTGGGAAGAATGGGGCCTGTGAGCTGAGAGGGATTTTGGGGATGTGACTTTTGTCCTTGGCGTGGACACGGACAAAGGGCGTGGAGCCTTCCTTGGCCATGACTCCATGGGGTGTCTCACTACCTGCGCGTGAGGGAGAGGGAAGGAAGTTGGAGGAACGAAAGGTAACAGTAGGCCAGTAGGCTGTAGCTGTAGCTTTAGCTGTAGCTGGGCACCCAACAGTCTATCGCTTTCATTCAATCAATCAATCAACAGCGTGTGAAAGCGCAGCAGAAAATCAAAAATCTGAATGCCGCGTGGGAACGTGCCCTCCATTCCGTAGCACTAGTTTCACAAACTCCGAATGCTGGTTGATCTGCCATTATAATCTGACGATGATTATGACATGACGATTGACGAAGCTCTCTGAGGCCCTGTTTAGCTGCACCAAGAACGTTAAAATTTTCAAGATTCTCCGTCACATCGAATCTTTGGACGCATGCATGAAGCATTAAATATAAATAAAAAATAAAACTAATTACACAGTTTAAACGAAATTTACTAGACAAATCTTTTAAGCCTAAATAGACTATAATCAGACACTAATTGCCAAATAACAACGAAAATGCTACAGTAATGTTTTGCCAAAAATTTTGACATCCAAACCGGCCCTGAGTGTCGATCAACCAGAAGAAACCTTTTTGATTAACAATAATAATAAAATATTGGTTCTTGTTAGCTACTAGTACTACTTGTGTTTTCGCTAATAGGCTAACAGCTAGCCGTGAACTTGGCTAAAGAATTATTTCATCTCTTATCAATTTTGCTAGAATGGATGCTAGTTGTTAGACTATTATTATGAAATCAAACTGGACAAAAACCAGCACTGCAAGATAACATCACCTTTTCCAGAACTGTAAAAGCTGGGCAGCCATGAGTAAGACCTCTTTGTCTGTGACAGTTTGGAGTTGTTAATCATTGAGCTCATGGTGAGGTAGAAAACTCTCCTGCTACTGTTCCAACATCACATTTAGGGGGTGTTTGATTATTTAGGGCCCTTTTGGCATGACTCCGGCTCGTGAAAAAACAGCTTTGGCTTTAGCTCGTATAGAAAAGCAGCTTTTTCTGAATCTGGCTTATTTTTGTACGAAAACGTTTAGCAAAACGACCTCTCCTAGTGTAAAGAAGATGTAAAATATCCAAAATACCCTTATATTTTTTTTTCTTTTTTCTCTTCATTTTTCTTTCTTTTTCTTTCCTTCTCCCTTCTTTTCTTCTCCTTATCCGAACGGCCTCACTCCATCCATCTCTCTCTCTGGCGGAGCAGGAGGCTGGCCGCGGAGCCGAAGGCCGGCGGGGCGGCGCAGGAGGCCAGCGGCGGGGCGGAGCAAGGAGTCCAGCTGCCCCAACCGTGCCTGCGCGCCGCCGCGCCGCCAGCCGCCGCGACCGCGCCTGGCCCCATGGCCGCCACCGCGTCGCGCCGTCGGCGGCAGCTGCGGCCCCGCATCGACGTCGTCCACTGCTCATCCTCCCGGGACAAAGATGGAAAATGAGTTGTTGGGCCGAGGAGAAGCCGGTATGAGCCGCTATTTTTAGCTTCTCCCCGGTGGAGAAGTGTAGAGAGCGGGATTTTAGGGGCTTTCGCCGGCTTCTGCTCGTGAGCCGTTTTGGTTTTGTCCGTTTGGCACGGCTTCATCAAAAGCCGCTCGAAAAGCTGCTCGTGAAGCCGTGCCAAAGAGGCCCTTAGTCGCTTCTAAAATTCATGTCACATCGAATGTTTAGATACTAATAAGGAGCATTAAATATAGATTAATTACAAAACCAATTACATAGATAGAGGCTAATCTGCGAGACGAATTTTTTAAGTCTAATTAATCTGTCATTAGCACATGTTTACTGTAGCACCACGTTGTCAAATCATAGACTAATTAGGCTTAAAAGATCCGCCTCGTAAATTAGTCGCAAGTTGTGCAATTAGTTTCGTAATTAGTCTATATTTAATACTCTATGCATATATCAAACATTCAATATGACAGGAATTTTAGGAGGCACTGCGGCAACCAAACGGGCCCTTATTAAAGCGCTGCACTTGCAACATCCAGCTAACCATGTTTTCTTTTTGATCAAAATCCACATCTCAGTCAGTCAGTCAGTCTTCATGCAGAGTTATGAGCCTACCAAACAAAGGTATAGGGAAACGTCACTGAGCCTGTTCTCTGGTTGGTTTCTGGGCTGATAAGTCTGGCTGGTGCTGGTTTGTTGTAAGAGAAAAATACGGTTGACTAGCTGATAAGCCCTGACTAAAACTAACAAGCGAACAGAGTGACTGTCCGTTCTCTGCGAAAGGTGGAAGGAGATGCACATGTGATCTCTGTGCATACTCTGGATGCTATTTTTTGGCCGTGCTGCCGAAACACTTTGCCTAGAATGAAACTTCAGAGTTCAGCTCGAGTTCAGACTAGAATTCAACTTGAAGTTGTCTCTCTGAAGAATCTGGCGGGCCCAACATATGGAACATGCAATTTCCACTCTACGTTAGGAAATTGGTGTTTGCTATGACATGTGCTTAGCATGCGATGCTATCGATCATCCATCACTCTGATGGAAGCATGCACACGTTGTGTATCTTTGGCGACAGTGGTTTCAGCGATCATCAAGAACATGCCACTTATTGCTTTCTCATGGGCTACGTTAGGTAGGAGAGAGGTTGGTGCATGCGCTATTGTTGGGTCATCTTTGCATACCGTGTGGTACCAACTAACGCGGCCCTGCTACGCAACAAGTTCTGTATGACGGTGAACAGTTAACAAAATGTCTTGCAATATTTTCAGAAAATACAAAAATAGTTTTTATTCCAGCCCCTTTTCATCCTCCCTAATGCATTACTTTATCAGACCAATATTAGCCGGTTTAGGTTCATTATAAGTCATTTTTTTTCTAACTTTGTTTATGACCATAAAAAAATACAGATTGACATTATTATTTCACTCCAAAAAGGGCTCTTGACTCCTTTCCATTGGTGGATAATACATATTGTTGTGGCTATTGTCAGTTAAATTTATAAAAGTTTTACTTAGGACAAATGTAGATGGACTTATATTTGTGATCAGAATTGGTATTACATACATAGTCATAACATGGAATATATAGTAAGAAAAAGCAGAAATGTACATCTAGTCTAGTTTAGCCCAAAAAAAAAAAACTATGCCTACCTCGCCACTCATTATTATTACATATTGTGTGTTTAAATGATGGTGAGGTAAGGATATTTTCTATTGTTTCTTCACTTTCTTGTATAGCGTTCGATTTTATTTTTCTGAGAAATATAAAAATGAAAACAATTTAGGTCTCTCCTTTTTTTTTGAGAAAAATTTAGGTCTCTCCTGAATCCTGATCCTCTCCCACGGTCCCACCATCCTCCGAATGGGCCTACTACTACACATTTCTCACTCACTTCTCAGTTCTCGGCTACCGTGGGCCGGATACACACACACTGGGCCGAACGGCCCATCTGCTCCTCGTTGCTGACGCAGTGACGGACGCTGATGGAGTCTCTGCTTGTGGTTGTGGACCTGGGACCACCATCACCATACACACACCAGCCGTGCTGACGCGGTCGTTCAACCGTTCCCCACCGCCGGCCGGATCTCCTGCGAGGCGACGCCGCGACCGCGCGACGGCGACCTCGCTCCTCCGCTTCCGCCGGTGTCCTTCAGCACGATGAGCCGCAGCGGGCCTCGCCGTGGCATCTTCGATGGCCTCCCCATCCCAGCCGACAAATCGGTAAGTCCCCCACCGTCGTTCGCTCCTCGGAACTGTGATCGTCGGAAATGCTAATTCTCGTCGTCTCGGCGCGGGGGCGCAGTACCTCAAGGAAGGCCTGTCGCGGATCGACGAGAGCTGGGCGGCCGCGCGGTTCGACTCGCTGCCGCACGTCGTGCACATCCTCACCTCCAAGGACCGCGAGGGCGAGATCCAGTTCCTCAAAGAGCAGAGCGACCTCATCGAGGACGTCGTCGATGAGGTCGTGCACGCCTACCACCACGGCTTCAACAAGGCCATCCAGAATTACTCCCAGGTTAGTCGCGGTCCGCCCACCACCCAGGGATCCCTTTTGTTTTGATTTATTTATTTCCCTGATGACGAGCCCTTCAGCCGTGTGCACCTGAAGTGAACATACCTTGTGGAGCTGTTGGTTTAATTTCCATTTTCCTCTTCATTCATGCGCCGTAGTTGAACATACCTTGTGAGCTGTTGGTTTAATTCCATTTTCGTCTTCATTCATGCGCTGTGGCGACAGATCCTGCGGTTGTTCAGTGAGTCTGCCGAGAGCATTACCGGACTCAAGGGGGAGATGGAGGAGGCCAAGAAGCTGCTTGGCAGGAAGAATAAGCACCTCGGCCAGCTGTGGTACCGCTCCCTCACACTGCACCATGTGCTCTGCCTTTTGGATCAGGTCGAGGATGTTGCCAAGGTCAGTTTGTAAGCTTCATCTCTTCCAATTATGTGCTCTTGCCGACAAGATCATGGGCATGTTTGGTTCTAGGCCCCAATTGGCCGTTGGCCGAGCCAAATTTTGGCTGGCCAAACTGTCTCGCTACAGAGCTCTGTGAATAAGCTAGTATCCAAGTGCTGACAGTAAGAAAGTATGAACCATTTTCAATCATTTATGGGAAGGAGAAGTCTAGGAGATTGTGCATGGTGCCATTATAATATTGTACGCATGCGAGTAAATTTCATGCTGAACA